ACAATTGTTAAGTTTTCTGATTAAGTTATTTTGATAGGAACTACTTGTGATAGATCATTAATATTTTACATAGAGTTGCATTAATATTAGTACATATCAGTTTGACAACTATTTCGAGGCCCTGTCCCCTAGGTCATGGTTCAACAACTTGGAATAAATAAGCAATTTTCAATGTTAAGTTTTCTGCTTCAGTTAGTTTGATAGGAACTACTTGTGATAGATCAATGATATTTTCTATAAAGTTGCATAATAATTTGTTCATATCAGTTTAATGACTATTTTGAGGACATGCCCCCCCCCCCCCCCCTCCCTCCCCCCCCCCCCCCCCCCCCCCCCCCACTCCCTAGGTCATGATCCAGCAACTTTTAATCAATAATCAATATTCAACGTTAAGTTTGTACTTTCAGTACAATCAATTTGATAACTATTTTGAGGTCCTACCCCGTAGGTCATGGTCTAGTGACTTTGAATTAATAAGCAATTTTCAATGTTAAATTTTCTGCTGAATTCAGTTTGATAGGAAGTACTTGTGATAGATCAATGATATTTTCTATAAAGTTGCATTACTATCAGTACATATCGGTTTGACGACTATTTTGACTGCCTGCCCCTGTAAGTCATGGTCTAGTGACTTTCAATAAATTAACAATTTTCAATGTTAAGTTTTTTGCTAAATTTACTTACTGTACATTTTTGTCTCGTCTGCGACGAAAGTCGCGGAAAGCGAGACATAGAGATTGCTTTTCCGGCGACGATGTCGTCAACAATTGTTAAGTTTTCTGATTAAGTTAGTTTGATAGGAACTACTTACAATAGACAACGATATTTTCTATAAAGTTACATTACTGTCTGTACATCTCAGTTTGTTGACCATTTCGAGGCCCTGGCCACAAGTTCATGGTCCAGCAACTTTGAATAGATGGCAATGTTGCTGTCCATCAGATTGTCTCTTTCTAAATTTTAATGCCGACAATCGAGACATTTCTTTGTGTCAACAGTTTATGGAATACATTAATTACTTCACACGATACATTATGCTATGTGAATCATAGTTTTTTTTTCGTAATGTTATCGTCTTTAGGAATTTAGACGCATTGAAACGGTGGAGTTATGATTTGTGTACCCGAATCAAACCTCTAATTTGAATAGTGAGACGTGCTCTGCAGATTGTTTTAATTAAAGTTAAACTCTGAAAAAATAATTAACTTAGACCACCAAGTAACTGAAACCAAAATATGTGCTGAGACAGCTTAAGACATGAAACCAAACGCGACCACTATTGATATGATTCCTTACATGCAAATCAACTCATTTTTTGCAGCATTTTTTTTCGAATCCAGCCATGAAGGTGTGGATGGGGGTTTACAGAATAGAAAATAATGGGCAAAAATATAAAGAATAAAGAATAATGCGTAAAAAGTATAAAGAATAGAGAAAAATGGCCTAAAAAGTTAAAGAATACAGACATAAAGGACCCCCTCCAGACCCTCAGCCATTTCTTCCTGAGAATGTGAGGCAATTTTTCTTTGTGTAATATTCTAGTTTTCGTTATGTTATTATATATAAGGACAGATCTAAGTTTTACATATATGTGACTATTTCTATTCGTGTTATTTTTCTATTTGCAAAAGATCCGAAAATAAATCGCTTACGAAAGTCAGTTGGTTTTACAATATGCAGTGAGTATTATTTCATTTGCAGGACTGTGATTTGAACAATGGTATCACACATGCATCCTTATGTCTATGGCAATACTAGTCATGAAGCAAATAATTATCATTCAACTATATAACAATAAGGAGGTGGGGTTTGATTGCCAATGAGACAACTATCCACCCAAGTTCAAATGAAGTGCATGTAAGCAATTACGGCCTTCAACAATGAGAAAAACCCATACCGTTTAGTCGGCAATAAAAGGCCCCGACATGAAAAATATGAAACTATTCAATGGAGAAAACTTACGTCTTAATTTATAACAAAACAATTTACGAAAAAACAATATGACAGACATGAACCATGCAACGACAACCACTGAATTACAAGCTCCTGACTTGGGACAGGCACATAAAGAATGTGGCGGGGTTAAACATGTTTTTGAACGCTCAACCCCCCCCCCCCCCCCCACCACCTTACCTGGGATGTGGTGTTACAGCACAAAATAAAAACAAACTATAAAAATCAGTTGAAAATGGCTTAACTCATCAGATCGATATTAAACAGAAAACATCTAACGAAAACAAAGAGTGGACGTGGCACGGCATTTATACATCCCTAACAACAGAGAACACATAGTACAGATCTGAGAGTACTCGCAGCTACTGACAGCTAGCTCAAAGCCAATAACAACGAATTAAAAAATCATGTATTTAAGACTAATATATTAATCAGTATACATCCAACATCCAATGGATTAAGCGCAAAGACGTCATTAACATTCAGAGAAAAAACATGACATTGGGCAGTGCCAAAATATAGGTATCGACAGATTGTAGTCTGTGAAAGCGCATATGTGTATAACAATATTATTTCGTATGGCTTTAATTTACTGATAACAAAATCAATAGTTATACCAATAAAAACAATATTCAAATATCTAATTACAGTGGTGAATTGGTAACCTTTTAGAATAAGTTTATTTAAAGGATTGATAAGTTTACCCGGATCGTATATGAATTTCCGGGATCGGTAAACAACACACCATACAATTTAGGATGTGCTATTCTGTCTGAAAAAAAGTTTTTTACAGGTACATTCATTTAATTGGTTTCATAAACCCCCCCCCCCCCCCCTTCCCCCCTCCCCCAAAATAAAACTTCTAATTGCCTCAAGCACACTGTTTTAACAGTGTCTTATCTATAAAAGAAATGGAATCGATTACATTATTTTTCAGTTTAAACAAGACTAAAATCTTCATATATTACGTTGCAGGCATGTTTATTTAAAAGATGGAAACCTATAAAATCATAATTTACATTGAATATACGATGTTTGAATTTAAATAGGTCTATTATCCACATGATTACAATTATACTTGAGGGTGTGGATGGCGGTTTACAGAATACAGAATAATGGGCAAAAAATATAAAGAATAGAGAAAAATGGACCAAAAAAGTAAAGAATAAAGAATAATGAGGCGCTAAAATATAAAATAATGGGCAAAGGTATAAAGAATAGAGAAAAATGGCCTAATTAAAATATTAAAGAATACAGAAATGAAGGGCCCCCATCAAGACCCTCATACTTTCCAAACACAACAAATTGTTTAATCACATTAACTCCATTGTCTTTGAAATCTACACTAATATCTTTCAGTTTAGTTACTGTGGTATATGTCAAAATCGGAACAAAATAGATTGATTGGTTCAGTATTGCTTGATAAACGTCCAGTGGCATATATTTCATGCATATTCAGGACAAAATTCCAAATAAATCAACAATTAATACAATAGGTATAGGAAGGTCAACCGGAATGAAAGGCGGGAAATTTGGGCTGCCACTGAAAATTGGGGCTTATCCTATTTTGGATATGGGCGTCATTTAGGTACTACGGACCTAGACTGGTGTAAATGCTCTTTTGTTCCGACGTTGGAAAGTTCCGGGCGGAAAGAATTTACTAGCCGAAAAGTTCCGGAGGAACTTATTAACTAGTTACTTTGTTCTTCCTCTGGTTTAAAAGTTCCACCGGAACAAAGTGATTAGTTGAAAAGTTCCAACGGAACATATCAACTAGTTCGAAAGTTCCTTTTTGCCAAATTAGTCAAAACCGGAACTAACAAACTAGCCCAAAAGTTCCAACGGAACTTATCAACCAGGCAGAAAGTTCCATTTGGAGAATTGATGCAAAGTAAAAGCGCAACATATTATATTTGAACCTTTCAAAGGGAAACCAAGATACTGATTACAAAAGTCAAAAGGAACTTATCAACTAGCCACAAAGTTCCTCTTTGGCAAATAAGTCAAAACCGGAACTAACAAACTAGCCCAAAAATTCCAACGGAACTTATCAAACAGTCACAAAGTTCCATTTGGAGAATTGATGCAAAGAACCACATGAGGAGGGGGGTATTCTGCCCTTTCTTGAGGGTACTATGAATACTAAATTTGCATGATAATGCAACTTATTCCGTTTTATGTGAGCTATGAAACACAACTTAAATTTTGCATATTTGTCCCCAAAGAAACACCTTTCAGTGCGTTGGGTATTCTTGTAAATTAGTGATTTGCTCTTATATATACTGATACTCATTCTTCCCCCTCTTTCTACAAAAAGGACGAAATATGGTATATTCGGAACGATGTAACTAGTTGTTCTGTTCCGCCAGAACTATTCAACTAGCTACATTGTTCCGGGACTTTTCAACTAGCTACTTTTTTCCGGAACTTTTCGACTGCACTCGGAATAAAACAACTAGTTGGAAAGTTCCATCGGAACGAAATAACTAGTTGAAAAGTTCCGCCGGAACAAAGTAACTGACGGAACATAGTGGCTGTTACACTGGTACCCGGCCGTTATTTGACATGTTTGTATAATCCGAATGCATACCGAATATTTTACGGAGGGAACCAATTCATTACGGACCCATCAGAGAGCTGTGTCAATGGTCATTTAACGTACCTTGAAAGACCGTTTTAATTTCCCTACAAATGTAGTTATTCTACTTTTAATCTATAATTACGCAATTTTAGACATCGTTTAAAATGCAGAATGTCAATTACATCTATATATCGATCCGATCTGTAAAAAGTAATAGAATAGCAGATCTGTAAAAAGTAATAGAATAGCCGATCTATAAATTGATCACTTAAAAAAGACATGACGCCATTTACAATAAAAAAAACCCGTTAGTGATCAGATAGTAACTAACACAAACAAAATGTTTAAAGAGCCAGGTATACAGGTGAGACGTCTGTTAAATATCAATTAAAAGGAAATCGACAATAAACAAACAAACAAAAGAAAAAAAAAAACAACACATGATTGAGTAAGTAGTGCAATGGTCCATGTTGGGTAGTTTTACTACCAGTTGTAGATATTAGATTATAGGTAAAGACACGAAATATACAAACAAAAAATCCAGTTATTATTGACATGTGAATATAACTGAATTACACCTTTATTTAATGAATAAATGTATTATTACGGTTGACTAAAAACAAAAGAGGCACTTAACGATGCAAGTTCGTGATATAATCGATGAATCTAAACAAACGTATCGAATCCTGCAGTTTATTTGCATATGACTTTTAATCAATTCAATTTAAAAACGAAACTGCATGTATTTCATTGATGATTTTGTTGATAAATTGAATTTAAATGCACGACTTAGCTTGTGGATTTTAATAATTGTATTTAAGGTTGACGTCAGTTTATTCTTAATTATCCAAGCAGGAAGTTTGGAAAAAAGAATCAGAGATGGAATAGTTGGAAGTATTTAATTCATTGATTTGTTTTTAATTACCGTTTTACATTCATGACACTAAACTGTTATGAGTTTTCTCTTATTATTATTTTACACGGTGTATTCCCTGTCACTAGTTTATAGTGTAAACTCAGAGAAAGGAACATATTCGGACAAAGTTTGTTTTAGAACAACACGAATAGAAGATCCTAAAGGATGGTTTTGTAAGGAGTATCCGGAATTTAAATGTGAAAGCTTAAGAAAAGTAAGTAGCACACAGAACAATAGCATTTACATGTAATGGAAGAATGAATTCTATTCATAGCAATAGTTTTATCAGGATATAAATGTAATGACATAACACAGGCTAGTACCTTACGAATAGCGAATAGTAGATATTAAGATTCACATATTCTGTCCTTGATTTTTTCTCATAAGTAATCATGAAAAAACATGTGACCATCCCCAAGCGTGACTGGGTATATATTTAATATATACGTGTGTCATATATGTACATACATTCTGTTAGCAGGCATTCGAACCCATACTAAAAAGGAGAATCGTCCGCTGTTTGGTTGTACATGATTTATAAATACGTAACCACGTCCAGTCTGAATGGGGACGTAAACCGCAATATACAATGTTTAAAGAGTACCACGCTCTCTGAGGGTTATATAACCTTTACAAAAATTCTTTGAGAGGTCAAAATGTTGTCCTTGTCCAATGTCCTATTTTGTAGTGTCAATAAATGTTTTGATAAATGTTCCCAACTTTGAAGTACTCAATTATTGTATGTATAGTTCCAAAATGTGCATGCACTATTTATCAATGGACCTCAAGCAACCAACAATAAATTTAACTCATCACTTTTTTATGGTACATGTATATATGCACGATGTATTCTGAATGTAAATATGATAATATAAGAACTTGCCTCAAGTGCGGAAGGTTCTGATGACGACCATCGTTCTTGTCAAACCATGCACAGACTTTTTTTTTTATTAATAGGTATTTATCGCTACTCCGCTGATCTCGTAGTAGTAATGAGTGAGAGCAAAGACTACTCCTTCTGGAAATCAATCAAATATTTCAGGATAGGATAACACGAGTACCTGCGAAATTTTGCATTCTTAGGTAGCACGTTAAAAATTTGACTCGCCACGCTGGCCATGGTCTAGAACAAAGCAGGGTATGTTGGTATGACGAAACAATGTTTTCGGTATGGAAATGCATTTGGGTGTAGCATATGTGACACGGCATGATTCCATGATACGGGAAACTATTGTTAATTAACTTGTTTGTTTGTACCTGTGCTTTTGTTATCTTTTATACCGGTTTGTGATTTGTTATTATGATAATTTAATGTTGAGGTCAGATCTTTGATAGTACCTTTTAAATTGATTCACATTGTTTTATATTTAGGTCGATCTAAAACTTGACATATTTTACTGTTTAACCCCGCCACATTCGGTATGTGCCTGTCCCACTCAGGAGTCTGTAAGTCAGCGGTTGTCCTATGTTGCTATACATCATATTTGTTTTTCGTTTATTGCTTTATACATAAATGAGGCCGTTAATATTTTTCATTTTAATTGTTTTACATTGGTCATATCGGGGCTTTTCAACGCTTGCTATGCGGCCTTAGTTTTACTCATTGTAGAAGGCCATACGGTGATATAACTTCTACGCTATTTGGTCTCTGGTGGCGATTTGTTTCTTTGGCAATCATATCACATCTTCTTATTTTCATATATTGTATAGACGCATGTGTATTTTTAGACTGCATCATGCCCTCTAGATGTCTTTTAGTTGTTTGTCGTTGTGTTGCTGTCGTTTTGTAGTTTCCGTATAGCTAACATATCCTGTTATTCATATGTAATATTGACCACTGGATATTCAGAATCCATCGATCTTTTTATCCATGGAATATGAAATTTAATATTTAACGCGTGGTTAATGTAAAAAGCACCCGAAAGACAGATGAAATGATGTATCAAATAAGTGTTTAGCATACGATTATATGTAAAGAATATCCGAAATATTGTTGAGGTAGGTAACCCAAACAGTATGTGACGAGTAAGATGAATTGCGCCTATTAGACCATATTCCACAAAGAGGTAAAAATACTTTTAAAATGCATTTTAATTATTAGTTTGTAATTCTTAACAACCCCCAGGGTGACTGAGGAATAGAAATATGGTCACTTTTGGTCTCCTTCCTACCTTCAGTAAAAAGCTTGCCAAAAGAGTGGTGTCCGTTTGGTTGTGCATGATATATAAATGACAATGTTAGTTTCTATTTTTTTAGTAATCAAATATGTCATCAGATTCATCACTCTGTTAATGTTGTGCGTTGTTTGCATTTTCTAACTAGACCATGTGCAAAAGATTGTTTAAATTGTGACTTTCCATGTTGATCATTCCCTCAAAGTTTACAAACAGTGTATACCTGTCTGAAATTTGACCAGCATAACTATTACATTTTTGAATACACAAAAGATTGAAGATTAAGAAAACAATAATTTGAAAGAAAAATCGAGATTTTGTTTTATCTATTTCAGTCAGAAGTTGTGTTGCTCAACGTTTTTTTTTTGGGCAGTATATAAATAAAGGATAAATATGTGGGAAATATGTCAATGAAGCTAATAACACATATTACAAAGAGACATATAGAGCTCTATGTTACCTAGTTGTATTCGACACTTACTTGTTGATTTGTGAACTACGTGTTTATCAAGAGCAGGCATTTTTCCTGCAAGGAAATTCAAAAAAAACAATTAAAAGCGAGTACAAATATGACTCATACTTCTACAGTTTATCGAAATGGTATATTTGATTCCCATTTCGTTTCCACCAAAACGGTTCGTTCTCTAGTAATGTCTTTTTTTTCAATTTCTTCCGAAGCTTAGTTCTAAAATGCATAAAATTCTCTTTAGGTTGTAGAATATGGAGATGTGATCTATTATCGTGCTGTACTAGACCAATCCAAACGTTCGAAAGCTATCAGTAAAGATATAGAGGATCCTATTGTACGAAAACACAAACATAGTAATAATGTAAGTACACACACTATAAAAGAAATGTATATACTAAGTCATTTCAGGTTTAGGATTTTTTGTCAGATGTTCGGAATCCTTGAGTTTTTTCCTACGATACAGGGTAAAATATTTTGCCCCATTTCATCCACTTTAAATGTTCATAGAAGACTTCAATAGATCATAAAAGGTAATTACCAAAACATAAGCAGATTCTAGATTTCTTTGGAGTTGAGTTCCAAACAATGCCAATGCTAAATACATCGTAAAATTCTGAGTCAGCTTTTTTCCCGCCATTTTTTTTAAATCAAATATCTCGATTGAAAAGGAGTTCCATAACCTATCAATATTTTTAGCTTATTTTGTTCCTTTACTAATGCTCTTCTGGTTAATAGTATCAATTTTAAATTCCAGATTTCTTTAATTTCACCTGATGACTATATTTTAAGAGTTTTATTGGTGTTCGATTACATGAACAAATAGAAACTAAGAGAGAGAGAGAGAGAGAGAGAGAGAGACTTCCTATAGGAGTTATTGCCCTTGAACGACGAATATTAACATTTTTTCCCTTTTGTCTATTATCTTGAAAATCATGGTAGATAGAGAGAAACTTCAATGATCAGCAAGACAAGATTATAAGGTAAGGGGGCGCCCGCTAATATGTTTAACCCCACCACATTCTGTAAGTGCCTGTCCCAAGTCAGGAGCCTGTAATTCAGTGGTTGTCGTTGTTGCTGTTTATCATATTTCATTTCGTTCATTGTTTTAACATTACTCAGGCCGTTAGTTTTCTTGTTTGAATTGTTTTATACTTATCATTTCTAGGCCTTTTATAGCTGACTATGCGGTATGGGTTTTGCTAATTGTTGAAGGCTGTACGGTGACCTATTAACTTCTATGTCATTTGGTTCTATGGTGGAAAGTTGTCTTATTGGCAATTATACCACATCTACTTATTGTTATATAAATCGTTCTTAATCTGACTTTTGCATAAAATGAAGACTCTTTTTGAAATTGAAAGTAAAGTTAAAGTAATTTACATTTAATATTGGTAAATATTTTATCACTCCGGCTATGAGATTTGAACACGCAATCTTCCTGCAGTGGGTAGTTTCAGCTTTCCACTGCACCACTGAGATACTTGGAGAAATAGTAAAAATTTTAGTAGTTAAGTCTACCATAAACGAAGTGAGAGAAAAAAATCTAGCCTGTTTTCGTTTAGATATTAAGTGTTGAGATATATGATTGTTGAAAATTTCGATCATTTTAAGCAAAAATAGGAGGATATCATACCTATGTCTGCCATTTTTTTGTCTTGACATATCATGGCTGCTCCTTCGTTTAAACAAAGGTGTATTCAAACATCACCATTAACAAGCACTTTTGAGACACAATGTTTTGTTACATCTATTTCAACTTAGCTAAATATTTTTTTATGATAAAAATTATGCTGTCTCTTTTTCAATTTACTCTGTAAGAAATGACCACAAATTTTGAGTGCATTTCAAGTTTATGATTGCGTTGGTACATTATAAATCACTTATTTAACTTGCGTACTTATAAATCACTTATTTAACTTGCGTACTTATAAATCACCTATTTAGCTTGCGTACAAGTTTTAATCATAATTTAAATAGTATTCTTTTAAAATACACGATTAATAAAAAAAAAAAAAAAGTCATATTGCCCCCGAAATCAATAGTATACCTTACCATACTCTAGGAAATATCGTGTTAAAATTATTTAAAAAAAAACGGTTTTCACAGGAGAATCTTGTCAGTAAGAGGCGATTCGATAGATATTTAAGGCACAATGCATCACAAAGCTGTTACATATAGTATTGAGTTGAGCGCATAACCACTGCTGTACGCAAAAAAAAATTCAAAGATTCAAGCCTTTTTTAAACTCAAACTAGTTGACTGAAAACTTAGCCCATCGGTACGAGAGTACCGATCGGAACATGAAGGGGTTAAACAAAGAATTTCTCCTAATCTTTAAATCAGATTTCACTAATAATTATCAAACTTGTTACATCCTACTAAGGTCAACAAAACAGGAACAATGACGTATAATTCGTGATGTGATAAACAAACTTTAGGAGGTCTAGCAATCCCTGCCTTGTCCTAGTAGGGAACCGAGAACAAAGACGTTCCTATGATGATGAAACACTATATCTAAATAAGTCTATTGCGTAAGATTTTAAATGAACCCTTGTAAATCTACCTTTATAGTCTTTTTACAATTCTGGTTATCTGCATCTTGTTAGAATAAGTCTGATGTTTAAAGGTTATCTCGTTTGTATTGTACATCAACAAACTTTTCGCATTTTTTTAAAGGCTTGTATAAATATGTAAATGATAGTTTTATTAACCGTGTACTATTCTGAAACTATATATTTTGTGAAATGGTCCTTGTATGACAAGCTGAGCCCTTGTTTATTATGAAAGCATAACAGGAAGCGAGATTTTATAAGTAAATATGACGATGATACATAAGAAAATTCATTGCGTTGTGCTGTTACACCACTGTCCAAGGTTAGGAGGGATTGAGCGCTCACACACATGTTTAACCCAGTCACATTCTGTTTGTGCCTTACCCAATTCAGGAGCCTGTAGAAAGTAAAATAACAAAAATACCGAACTTCAAGGAAAATTCAAATCGGAAAGTCCCTTATCAAATGGCAAAATCAAAAGCTCAAACACATCTAACGAATGGAAAACAACTGTCATATTCCTGACTTGGTACAGGCATTTCCTTATGTAGAAAATGGTGGATTAAACCTGGTTTTATAGCTGTAACACAGTAGTACAGCGTGTGCCGTTGGATCATATCTGTAATATTTCTTTTTCGTAAATTGTTTTGTTATATTTCTCGTTTAAATTGTGTCACATTTTCCATGATGATGCCTTTTAAAGCCGACTCTAGCGTAAAGGTTTTGCTCATTGTTGAAGGCCATGCAGTGACCTATAGTTGTTCAGTTCTATGTCATTTGGTCTCTGGTGGAGTGTTGTCTCATTAGCAATCATATCTTATATTCCCATTTTTATGCGGTTTACAAAAACTTTCTATTTAAATTTTTACATCCCCAGTAACTTTAAAGGGGAGCAGTTAAATGTACAGGAATTAGTATACAACATGGCTTAGTTCGGTTTCAAGACGGTACATGTATCAGTTGGACATACATATTCAACAATTTGTTTTGTTACAGTTCATAATTTTTGAACAAGAAATAGCATACAAAAGAGTACCAAAGACAGCAGACACACAATGGCCTAATCTCTGGCACTTAGTAAGTATAACATGATTGGTTTACTTGCTTAAAAAAATGATCAACATAATACATGTACGAGATTACGACCATGTTAAGCTAAGTTAATAGTCATTTTTTGTTTTGTTTTTTATTTGTTTACGTATATACAAAATCAATTAAACAAACAAACAAACAAACGAAAAAGAAGAAGAAAAAAAAATCATCCCAATTTGTCGAGAATAAAGGTCATAGACATTAATAACCTCGAAATTGCACCGTACTACTTCTTAAAAAAGAAAAAAAAAGAAAAAAAGCGTAATAAAAGAGAGGCGAAAGATACCAAAGGGACATTCAAACTCATAAGTGTCATAAAATAAACTGACAACGCTATGGTTAAAAAAGAAAAAGACCAACAGACAAACAATAGTACACAAAACACAACATAGAAAACTAAAAACTGAGCAACACGATCCCTACTAAAAACTGGGGGTGCTTTCAGGTGCTCCGGAAGGGTAAGCAAATCCTGCTTCACATGTGGCACCCGTCGTGTTGCTCATGTTAGTACAAACTCGGTAATAAGTCTAATTCGGTAGGTCACATTCGGGAAAAGGGGACGGGATTGTAGTTACGACATTAAGAACATAGCCGCTTCATCTGTGAAACGGATATTCCAACCGACTCGTGATGGCGTCCGTAAAATTTACGAAGGGATGATTTCGACTTCAACACTTGGAACTCTTGGTTAAATAGCTTCCTTGTGAGCAGCAACCCTCTATCAAGAAAATCATGATAGGAAATACAAGCACTGGCATATCGAATCAACTGTGAGATATATACTCCGTATGCAGGCAGGCGCTGCTGGAATGTTGCTACATAGAAATGGAAAGTTCACAATTGGGAAGCTGAAATCATCTCTTTTGTCGTTAAGTAAACATCTATTAAAAAAGGATGAACAAAAATACCTTACTCTGAGTTCAATTCAAAAAGGGGGAAGTTCATTAAATCTGACAAATCAAACGTTACACTATATCAACCAACAGAACGAAAGAAAAACAACTGTCATAATTATTCTTGACTTGGTTTAGTAATTTTCCGGGGTAAATGCTGAATAAAACCTGGTTTTATAGCTAACTAAAACTTCTACTTGTATGACAGTTGTTCCTTATTTTTGACAAAATTGGGTGAGCAGAAACGTTTATAAAATGAAGGGAAGGGGAAAGTAGGCGAAATTACACCAGCTTGTATTTTGCCATTTGATAAGGGACTTTCCGTTTAGCTTTTGCCATCTAATTAAAATTTAGTTCTCCGCACTTGCTCCTCATTTTCGTTCGGTTGTTTTCATTTTCGTTCAGTTGTTTCATATGTCGCGCCCTCCCACGCGCGACACAGTATAAAACAACCGAACAAAAATGAGGAGCAAGTGCCGTTTTTAATTCTCCTTGGTATTTTTGTTATTTAACTTTTATATTTCTAAAATATATTCAGAAATAATAAAAAAAAAAATAACAATCATTAATATCCGTGTAAGTAATGATTTTTCATAATCACCAAGAAACACAATATTTTATTAGTAGAAGAAAAGACAGAACTGATAGGCTCCGGAAGAGTAAGCGGTTCCTGCTCCACTAGTGACATCTGACGTGCTCTTAATGGATGTTTAAAGACTTCCCAATAGACTATTTTCATGTTACCGACTTTTGACTCCGGAGTTTATAAATTTTGCGATCGGTAAAAATTTAGGGGAAAAATTAACTGTTTCATGTTTTTTTCACGACAAAATTTTCAGAAAGCAGTAAACTTTCCCCCAAAATTGCATCGATTATGTATTTGATTTTACTTCTTTTTGGTTGTTCTTACCTGACCGAGTACCAGGATGTCCTGCCACAGATTAGATAACCTGTCGAAGAAATTATAAAATCCGGAGTCAAAAATTGAAAATATAAAACATGTTAATATACGATATACAAATACAAACATACTCAGAGAATTGTAAAACGAAACGAAAATTCTGACATATTTTGAAAGTTCCAAACAGTCTATGTAATACATATGTTTATGTTTTAATTTCTTTACTTAGAATGGCAATATTTCACCTTCGATGAAAGTGAGTGAAGCATGGAGCCTTGGATATAATGGAAGTGGTATAATTATTGGTATTGTAGACGATGGTTTACAGACAGATCATTCAGATTTGGATGCAAACGTAGTAAGGAAAATCTTTGACACATTGTTAAAATACATGTTTGAATCTTAAAACAACGTGTTAATTGCATACTGCCGCTTGAGATTAAAACAAATGTACCACAACAAATCAACCTCAGTGGAAATCAAAAACCTATTTCGTTTAAATTATACTTATTTCGATTTTCGAAAAAAAACCAAAGAAATCCAACATGATAGATTTAATTTTCAAATACATAAAAATTGTAAAATCGTTTTAGCTATCGCTATTATATTAAAGTAATATGGGCCTTCAAATTTGACATAAAAAATAATATGCTTTATATAAATTAACGGCTATATTGTATTATAAAACACTGGGACGTAGCCTTTTTAATCCCTTATGTTATCATCAAAATTTGCTGCTATTGAATTATTGTCTTCCTGTATTCTAATTTGACGACAGCGTGTCCGTAAACAATGACATTAACATGGCCCCTATCCAATCTTTAATAACTTGGATTGCCAAAAGGTCAGGGTTCTCTCCGTGGACTTCTTCCAATAACAACTGGCCGCCACGATGTGCAAGCGGAAATGCAAAGGGAAAAATCACGATTGAAGAAAAACGTGAATGTGAGGCACTTTAAGCAATTTCTGAAAGAACATTTTTAAAACACCAACTCATTGAACTACTGCTCTTACAATTAACAAATAGGAACGCTTGGACAATATATATATATATATATATATATAAAACAAAAAAACAAAAAAACAAAAACAAAAAACCCTCAAACTTATCAAGTAAACATCGCTCTATCATCGAAATAATTATTAAAAGCCTTACATATTATACACGTTCTTTACTTTTCTGTGTTTATCATGTTTGTTATGGTCCTCCAATGTTATACTTTGGACTCCAAACCCGAAAGTTAATTAACAGCCGTTGTTTTCGACCAAAATTCACCAAAGTATTCACATGTTTGTGCACATGTTACGTTATGGCTTTGTAGAAATTGGTAGATACATTCAGAGAAGACTAAGTTTATAAAATATGAATGCATTGGTTCAAAAATTTCATGAAAATTGTAATCACCAGAAATTCTTTTATGATTTTAACATATAAATTTCCAATTAAAGATTAAATATGAATTATTTTGTAGGACACAGCAATTGATAAAGACGTTTACGACGACGACAGTGATCCGTCACATTCAGCAGGGGACAGGTGAAGCCTTTTATTGAAAAACCCAAATAATATTACAACGGTTACATTTGTTCCAATTCTGGTTTGCTTGTTGTTTTAATTTTGTCTGCATAAATTCATAGATTGGTGTTATTTATTTAGATAACTTTCTATGCAGTCATCATTTTTGCCTATGTTTGTCTTTTATTCTTGATATAATGCTAAAGGTACTTGTTAATGACAGTTTAGTAGATGACAAATACACTTACAATCAGAAAACTGTCCATTAAGACGAACGGACAGAAAAAAGTTGTGAACAATTAAAGGTCACCTTGTGGCCCCTAACCTTTAACAAATACCATACGTATAGTATATGTTTGCTAGAAAAGGCCTCGCTTTGGCAAAATATGTAACAATTTTATAAAAAAATAAGGATTTTGCTCATTGTTGAAGGCGGTATGGTGACCTATAGCTGTTATGTCAGCCTTAAAAGCTTACACAATAAAACATGTAATCGCTTCATACAAATCAAAACAAAACAAAATAAATGTTTTTTTTTCAAAACTTGCTGTTTCACTGACGTATAGAGCATATCTCCTTTAACAAATATAGAGATGCATTAAAAAATAATAATATCTAGAAAAAAAAACGGCCACAAAATTAAACAGATAAATTTAGACTCACGTGAAAAAATAGTAAAATAGTAAAATCCTTCGTTGCTTACGAATTATTTGTATTTCAGTCATGGTACAAATGTAGGAGGACTTGTGGCTGCAGAGATAAATAATGACGACTGCATAGTTGGTGTTGCACATCAAGCAACATTAGTAGGTAATTCATTAAGAACTAGTTAGAATAAGGGCTCAGTAAAAGAACATTAGTAGGTAATTCATTAAGAACTAGTTAGAATAAGGATTCAATAAAAGAACATTAGTAGATTATTCATTAAGAACTAGTTAGAATAAGGGTTCAGTAAAAGGACATTAGTAGGTAATTCATTAAGAACTAGTTAGAATAAGGATTCCGTAAAAGACCCACCAGATCATTTACAAAAGATCGGGATCATTGTAGTTAAAAAAAACACCGTCATGACCTCGGTAAATATGTGTTCTTATCTGATACAATATATAATACCAAGCAATGTGTGCGTAGCTCCATTTTAGGGGTCTAAAGGGGGGGGGGGGGGGGGCTTGAAATTTAGAAATAGATACCTGGCACCGGTAAAAAATAAAAACAATATCATCTTACCCAAGACAGGAAGGAAATGATTAGTCTGTATGAAAGACCATAGTTTGATAGTGAATTGGTCCAGATAACCCATACATTCCACAAAAATCAAAACATGAAAACTACCATAATAATTCATCAACTATTTGATCATTAATTTTGTCTTGAAAAACACTTTTGCGGATTCCAAGAACGCAAACTAAGTGTAGTATATTATTTATTACTAATTTGTAGAACGCCTTACTATACACGTAGATTCATTTCGCAATGTTGTTTTAATATATAATGACAGAAGTCCGGTACACATTACAAAATCTTTAGCTGAAGCGCTTGTAACCAGTCATAGTGATGGATTTCTATATTAAAATTATCAATACATGAACCAGCTTATTTGTTTCTAAGTCCAATAGTTATGATGTTATTTGGTTAACATTAATGTGACAGTGGCAAATATTTTACGCATATTCTGGACGAGACTCAATTAAACACTACATCAAATAGGTTGGTTTTGTGAAGTGATTTGACCGAAGAACGTGAAATTTGGATAGCAACTCGAAAAATAGGGTATGATAAAAAGGAACAGAATTTAGGCAAGTAGCAGACTACATGTAAAAATTGTCCAATATATATTGCAAGTGTTCATAAAGGTAGTCTCTTGCAAGCTTGGATTACTTATGACAGCAACTGATCCGTTTAGTTGTTTTTCTTGATAAATAACAAATTTACTCGATTGTATATAATGATAACGATACTTTTCCTCAGATGGTCCGAGGACACAATTATCATGCTAAAAGCCTTTGAGTCATATACTTGTAGTCCCTAGTGTAGACAGTGTATAACTTGCAAATGTTTTTATACACCTTTCAAATTTATTTCTTCATATCTTATGCATAAATAATGAGGTAGATGGATGAAATAACATGCCAAAAAAAAAAAAATTTTTTAAATTGGGTAATGAATTTTTAGGTCAAGTGTTTCGGACGCATGAAATTTATAACGTGTTGTTTTCATTTCATTTTTTCACTGTAGTAATTTGATCCAGTTAAAATAAGGTAAAATAGTAATAAAGACCCCTTTAGCATAGAATTGAAATTGACCATATTTTGAGATGGAGCTGCATAGTAGACTTTTCTACAATTTTGATATAATTTTTCAAAAGTAGTACACTCATTTTGAAATAGAGCAGGTGCGATTTTTTAAATTTGTATTTATTGTCTAAAAAAAGCACTACCAAATAATTGTGTTCTTGGGCCAGATAAACAATCCAATTTAAAACAAACAAACTTTGCATGTTTGCGGAAGAAAATCAAATAATATAAGAATTGAAACAGACGCCAACAATACATCTTTTGTTTAGGAGTAGGAAAGGGGCGGGCATTATTTTCTTTTTTATCCCAAATTTCTTAAAATAAAATATCAGAATGGAAATGAAAAAAATGTGTTTTTATTGAAAATTAGGGAAAGAATAAATACAACAATAACTTGTGTGACACTCTCTCTACACGAGGCATCGAATATAATGTCTCCATTCTGACCAGACGTGGCTGCCTATTTTTATATCCCGCACAGCCAAACTGACGCACACGTCTTTCCCCCTACCCCTCCCCCCCCCCCCCCCCCCCCCCACACACACTTTAAAAATGATTTTACTGTCGGTCGGAAGAAGATCTAAGTGACCAAAGTTCTTTTCCTCAGACACTTTTTGTGGAATTCAATGCAAGACAATATGCTTTTCGATGTATATTTCAAAAACAATGTAACTTAACAATTCTTTTTCAAATAAGATAAGATAAGATAAGATAAGATAAGATAAGATATTTTTATTTTCCAATTATGGGCCCCAAAGGGCATAAACATTACAACATCAATAATTTTTTCATAATACAATACAAACAATGAGATAAAAAAAAAAAAAGTTAAACGAGAACTATTTAAGTTCTTAAAGAATACGTAGATAAAGAATCTATAGTATGTTGTTTTTTTTAATACTAATGCATTTTATTGCAAGTGTGGTTGATATAGATAACAAACAAGCAGCCCAAAAAGAAAAAAAGAAAAATAGATATCCACATATGTATAGTACACAAAAAGTTGGATCAATTAAATATATAATAATTAGCCAAAAAGAAAGTAGAAATTAAACATGTCCATGACTCATCCTGTGTCAGCAGCAAATAGGAAAGCATTATGGTTTCCTAAAGGCAGCTGACACCAGGGGGCGATACCTTATGGGCCATAGGCATGTACAATGTGTGTAAATGTCTCTTTCCTACCTGTATCAAAAGCAAACAAGGAAGCATCATAGGTAACTTGAATGCAGTTGATACCAGGGGACGATGCCTCAAGGATATAAGAGAACATTTGAATAAATAATATATCTTAACAATTATTTTTTTTTTTAATCGGCTAGTATGTTTGTGATATTCAGATGAATATAATTTTCTATGTCCAATCAAATGTATATACACACATAGATTTCCTTTAACTAATCTTCACTAAGGAAGATGTTTGTATATAAAATTACATATTATTTTAAGTAACTCAACATTTTCTACACTAAATAACCAGATAATTTTGCTTTGACTGTTCATATGATTAAAATAAGAATTATATTGTGCAATACTAGCTAACATACAATTTCTATCATCCTCAAATTTGTTACAATCAAATAGAAAATGAGCCTCATCTTCGACAGTATTGGAAGAACATTTATTACATATTCTGTTAATTCGGGGAATACCCTGATATCTACCTAATTCTATTTGTAATCTATGAGAAGATACACGTAATTTAGTAAAACTTCTTCTAAGTTCAAAATTCTTGATCAATGTTAGATATTTTTCAAAACCAAAATTTGTTTTATATAAAAGGTAGGTTTTCAGTTTACTGTCTGAAAATTTATCTATTTGTTTTTTCCAACAGCTAATAAACAATATTGATAGCTTGGTTTGTATATATTTCTTAAATTTGTATAAGGATTCACAAAATGGAGCATTTATGGCATTTGTATAGTCAATACCAAGTATTTTAAAAACAACATTTATTGAACCATACCAAGATGTTATATTCATGTGATGTAGTGTCTTTGATTGTGTATATGCCTCTTTTAATAGAGGAAAATTATTACCTAAATTCTCTAATCTATACCAGTACAATAACATTCCTTTTATAATATTAAAATATATTGGAAATCTTCCAAGTTCAGATAACACTGCAGCATTTGTTGTTTTCTTGTGTACCCCAAGTATAAATTTACAAAATTTTATATGAAGTTTCTCACAGGGTAAACCTGAATATAATTTTTCAAAAGATATATCTTCCTTCTTACATTTAGAGGAAAGAGAATTAAACATCCCCCATATTTCGCTACCATATAATAAAATAGGTTTTACAGTGTGGTCAAAAACATGAATACTTGTTTTTACATCAGGATTCAGTGATAAAAGATCTTTCCTTAATTTGAAATGAGCTTTCAGGGATTTTTTGTATAGTTCATTTTGAGCATAACTGAATGAACCAGATGAGCTTAAATATAAACCTAGGTATTTGTATTTTGAAACACATTCCAGATTTATATTCTGAAATGTGAATATCTGTTTTACATGTCTGCCTGCCTTGTTGAAAATCAGCACCTTTGTCTTATTAGTATTCACATTGAGACACCAATCTTTGCAAAATTTATCAAGCATTCCCAGCTTTTCTCGTAGTCCTTCAGCTGATGTAGATAATAAAACAATATCATCAGCATACATTAAACAATGTAGATCTTTGTCATTGACATTAACTGGGTCTCTAGTATCTGACAAATATCTGGGCAAATCATTTATGAATATCTTGAATAAATTCGGACTGAGGTTGTCACCTTGTTTGACTCCAATATCTAATGGGAAAAAATCACTTACTTGATTTTGAATTTTGACACATGATTTGCTAATTTCATACATACTTTTAATAATGTTATAAAAATAAGACCCAGCCCCAATATCTAGTAGTTTAATCTTGATCCCTGTATGTATAACAGTATCAAAAGCCTTCTGAAAATCAACAAAACAGGCAAACAGTCTACCTTCTTTTGAATTACAGTATTTGTTAATAAGACAGTTTAAAATAAACATATGATCTGCAGTTCTGGCTTTCCTTGTGAATCCAATTTGACTATCATGTATAATATTATGTTCCTGAAGAAATTTGTCCAGTCTTAGACTTAATATTCTATTAAAAAGCTTTCCAATTGCACTTGTTATTGTTATTCCTCTATAATTGTTAGGGTCACTTGTATCGTTGCTTTTAAAAATTGGTGTAATATAACCTTCAGCCCAAGATGTTGGGTATATACCTGAAGACAGACAAGTATTAAACATCTGTTGAAAACTTTTTAAAAGGAAAGTCTGTCCATTCTTTATCATATTATTACTAATGTTATCCAAGCCTGATGATTTATTGCATTTTAAGTGTGAAATGGCTTTGGATATTTCAGACTCAGTGATAACGGAGTCCAACTCGTTGAAACATTTTGAGTTTTCTAACTGTTTCAGTTTTTCACATAGCTCTGTATATCTACTTTGAAATTCACCTTTCAGTTGTGACAACTTTTGGAAATGTGATATCAAAGTTGATGGTTGTACTCCACATTTTTTTTTAGTTTCATTTTTTTCCTGTAGTTCATTAATTAAGTTCCAATACAGTTTTGGATTCTCTTCGTGCAAGGAGTCCAGCTGACTAATCAATGATTGTTTGTATTGTTTGTATTTATATTTCCTTAGTTTGGAGTATTCACGATTCAGTTTATAAAAGTGATTTTTGATAATTGGATCATATGGAAATCTTGAATAAATTTTTCCATAATTAAGCAAGTTAGTTCGAGCTTGTTGTAAACTTGCGTCAAACCACTTTTTGTTTTTTTGTTTGTTTGTGTGTTTTTTTAAAGGTCGTTTAAGTGATAGATTTGCTGCTGATAAAAAGATGTTTGAAAGTTTTGATGATGCTTCATCTACTGATGTCTGAGTAAATTGAATTGTGCTGTTGTTGAATTCTAGTATGTAGTTTTGTAGTGTATCTGAAGAAAGTGTTTCTTGAAATTTTATTGCTGAACAGTCAGTCCAGATATAATTAGGTGTCATATTTTTCAACTGGATTGGAATATCATTTTCTCCAGGAACACAATATTTTGCAGATAATTCCCACTCAAGTTTACAATGACAATCAGATAATGTGGGAATAAATCTGGATACTTTAAAATACAGTACATTTTCAAGAATTTCTTCCGACACAGCAACATAATCAACCACACTTGCACCATTGGGGGTATAGCAAGTAAAATTACCAAATGTATCACCAAGAACTCTGCCATTTAAAATTCTTATTTGTTTACTAATGCAAAAATCCAAAACTTCTTTGCCTCTTTGATCAATTTTTTGGTCTCGACTTTTTCTTGTCATAATGTTTTTGTCAGTAGGGTATGTATCAAAAATTGGAGTAAATTTTGAATCATCGTTTACTATAAAGTCATTTTCAGAGCCTATTCTGGCATTAAAATCTCCACATAACAAAATTTCACCCATTTTTTTATACTGAAAGATATCTTTTTCTATGCATTCAAAAACATCAGAAGAGAGTTCTTGGGTATATTTAGACGTAACAGGGGGGTTGTACAGTACACAAATAAATAGGTCACTTTTAAATCCAAAAAAGGATTTTTCTAATTTAATCCATTGATAATCTGGATTACTGTTAATCAATATTTTGACATGAGGTTTAACGTGACTTTTCTATAGAATTGCTATACCCCCAAAATGACGGTTATTATTTGATATATTTTCAAATATAAGATTGTGGTTCCGAAATAATGTTTAAATATTATGGTTTTCGACGTAACTTTTTTTTCAATTTCATCCCGTCAGGGACAGTTACTCTTCTATTGTTCTTGGTTTCACAAGTTAACGCATTGTTCTAATCGTTATTACATTTTCGAACGAAAAGTATATCTTTGTTTTTGAATGTGCATATTCAAACTACTGGGATATGTAAATACCCTATTCTGTGACACAACAAGATGATTTAAAACAGTTTTAAGATAATACAATTAAAATTAAGATGATGTTAAAATAAAAAAAAACCATTGTCATGCCAAATTGTCCTGTGGTAGTTACCATCTTGGTATAGATGCATCTTTATAAGTTGTAACTGGGACTATTATACTATTATTAGTATAATAGTCCCAGGTTGTAATCTAATACTTTGCAATCAAAATTTACCATTCATGCCATGCCACAATACAGAAGTCTGGTAACAAGTACTGAACGAATCGTTCTGTTCGGGACAGACATTTGAAAACACAAAGTTGTAATAATCGACTGTATTTTTTCATTTTGTTTACGTTTAGGAATAAGAATACTTGGCCCTGGTTCAGTAACAGATTCACAGGAGGCAGAAGCATTAGGATGGCAATTAACTGATATTGATATTTACTCCAATAGCTGGGGACCAACTGATGGTCATGGGTTCGAGAAACCGGGAACAATGACGAAAACTGCACTGGAAAATGGAGTAACTAATGTATGCTATAATTAATTTGTCCCAAGTAAATAAATAGACCTGGATTAAAAGAGATTAACTCTTTCAACAAGTATGCGTTTGTAAAAGTCATTTTCAGCATTCGTGTGAAACGGAATTACGTAAATGTGAGTTCATAAAATACGTAGAGTTCATAAATGAAAATGGATAACACAGAAGTAGCAGATGAAGAGTGTATTCTCTTAAATTATGTCCAAGCTACACTCTTAGTCGTCATTTTTTTTGTATCTTTAAACCGTTTATTATAGTATGTCAAGAAAAACATTCCCGGATTTGAAATAAAAGTTTTATTTTTAGCTAATAATTTCTGGTGACATTGGACAACGGTACAATAGAAAAAGGTTAACAGATATTTTATAACAAATATGACTAGTTCCTTTTGAGTACACGTGAATAATGATGCCTTTCCCCACTGCTTCAAACACTGTTTAATTTCTTTTGTAAATTTACTGAAATTAAAGGTTAAATGTTTCATGTTTCAAAAAATGTATTATACACCTTGTTAAATTATATACTCTCTTATGAACGTATATGTTAGTTTAATACTATTATTATTTGAATTATAATACCTAACTTCCACGTTTGAGTTTGGACTTTTAAAAACTTTAAAAAAAAAATTAAATTAAAAAGCATAAAATTAATTTGTTCAACGACAAATGTGTCTTGTACTTCTAAATTAGGTTGCTCTCCAAAAATTTCAATCTCAAAGAAATAAACTCAGAAAATTGCAAACACAAAGAAATGAACTCAGAAAATTGAAAATCTTCTCTAAATGTTGCAGGGAAGAGGTGGTAAAGGTGTGATTTTTACATGGGCGGCAGGTAATGGTGAAACAAAAGATAACTGTAATGCTGATGGTTATGCTAACAGTATCTACACTATAGCAATAACAAGTGTACAACAAGGAGAAAATGCATGGTATTCTGAGGTATGCGCTGCAGCAATGGCCGCAACATACGGTGGCAGCAATCAGGACCAGTATTTGGTATGTTTTTTCACTTTAATTAACTGACAATAATATAAATACAAAGATAATTTTAAAATCATTATTTCATACAGAGGACATAATAACATCCTTCATGGTACACCCCTCCCGAAATAGAAAGGGAAAAAAAACGAAACATAAGTAAAGGTCATCCATATGTTAGCAATCGCACCATATAATTTACCCAATAATTATTGCATATCTTGTCTAAAACTGTATCACCTTTCAATTTGAAACACATGCATTCAATATTTGAAAGCATGTGAAAAATGATTGTTGGTATTTAGATATATTAAACTTTTAACCAGTTAAAAACCAAATATTTGATACTATCATTTACAGACAACAACGACCACATCTTCTGGTTGTATCAGTGAAAATGTTCAAGGGACATCGTTTTCAACGCCAATTGCATCTGGTATTATTGCTCTTGCGCTACAAGCCAAGTAAGTATATTCAAATACAAAATATTAGTATTTGTTAAATCGTTTATTTACATATGCTGGTGAACTATGCTGTTGGACTATCAGTTGCCGAGGGCAAACAGGATCTGAACAGATTGTTACCGTTAAAAAAACTACAGACACGAAAAACTAATTTGCACTGAACACAACACAAAATATTAAATCAAAAACCACATAAAGACATGATTAACAACGTTTTTGTTTTTATAAATTCCCGTTTGATAAAAGAGAGGCGAAAGATAATAAAGGTATATTAAAACTCACAAGTCGATGACAAATTGACAAACCTATGGCAAATAAATGAAGAAGTTAAGAAATTAAGAAATTAATAAAAGTCCAAGGTTTATACTCCCTTTGGCAAAGTTGACCTCTTTGTAAAATTTGATGCACCTTTTGGTTATATAGCTTCTATATATAACTGGTTTCAGCGTATGTTTACATCCCAGCTGGCCTTAAAAACGATTAGGTGTGAGCGTTCCTAATGAAGGTGGATCCAAAAAAATACGCGTCGGTCACACGAAATTTATAAAGGTATATCAGTGCTGTGGTAAAGATAGGATGTATTGCATATATTATGCGGGAAAGAGGGGGCAGGGCAGACTAAGGCAGTTGCCTCCCCTCTCCCGCTGAAAGTTAATGTTGTCACTCTGCTGTTTACATATCTGTGTTCACTATTTTAACTACGACAATTTGGGGGACTGTCGTTCGCGTTCTTTCGAGGCCTCCTGGTGAATAAAACAAAGATGTCTATATATGTTTCTTTCGAGTCCAACCATAAGAGTAATTTAGTCAAAATACATTAATGAAATAAAAGAGTTTGATTCTTAAAATGAACTTGAATTAACAATTATCAAAATACTTCATTAATTAATTAAAATAGTTTATCTTGATATTTATGGTAACTTTAATAGAGAAAGATTTCTGTCATAAAATTGTTACATTAAAACATTACTAAGGTTACGTTTAATTTTTCATTAAACAAAAATTATGAGTTTACGAACCTGGTGAATAAAACAAAGATGTCTATATATGTTTATTTCGAGTCCAACCATAAGAGTAATGTTTGGTACCTAAGGGTTTCCTATTTTAAACCCTAATAACACGTGCTGATTGGACTTGTTTTATTCACCAATCAAAATACTTTTTAGAAGAATTAATTTTATAAGAACAGTTTCTATTGGTTAAATCTCTTTTAGCAAATTCACATTTTTACATAATTTGGGGTTACTATTTTTAATTACTAAATACCTTGTTTTTACGACCATTAGGGAAATTCGATTATTTGGTTAGATAGAATTTTAGGTGAACAATAGAAAAGAATTATATATATTTGCTAAAGTAAATACTTCTAAGAGTTTAAGCTGTCAAACCTTATTTATATTCTAAGTGTCAAATAGGAAGAATTTCACATCTAATACGTATATATCAAAAGTTACATAACATTATAGACTTTCTTATTATATCTTTTTATACAAAAACCTTTATACAAGAATTAGTTATTTTCTACAATTCCATAGAAGATTCACTTAGTTTTATATGAAATATTAAAATTTATTTCTTTAAATATTTTACTCAATTTACCACCATTATATATCCCTGTTGTTCGAAGAAATTGCTCCGCAATTTTACATTCGAATTTATTTCTTTTTAAACTTGTTTGAATTTTAAAAACGATTTTTTTTAAATATTTCCTCGACTGGATTTGACTATATGACTTAGTGGTTTATGATCCGTTGATATTGGATATATCGGTTAGACAAGTTGTTATGACCATGATGACTTATTGCGTTTTAGATCTCCTTATTCTGTTTTTTTTTTTATTAATGAAACAATTTTATCTTAAATATTTTTCATTTACCGATCACTTAATTTATTCTTTATGTAATGAGCGTTGGTGTTTTTTTTTAACATAAATACTATCGTTTCTCTATTACTTATACTTTTGAGGTAGGCCTGCTTTTCTTGGTAGTCTGCTCGAACTCCAAACATATCCGAGTCATTTCCTCTCTCTGGAGTATGCTCATTTTCCTAGATATTTTGCTCCGACTCCAGAACTACCGCAAGTCATACCCTCATTTTCTATTATATTACTTTAGTCGGATTTGTTGTTTGTTTTACAATAGATAGTTTTCTAAAACATTTGATTACAGTTAAGATTTTACATTATGGATAAAGATTTGCTTATGCTAGAATACATTATGTTTGCTATAATCAAGGTTTTACATGATGACTAGCTAGGTCAACATATTTAGCACTTAATTAATTAGGACGTCTACTATTAATTCTTATGATTAAACTAACATTAAATTCTTACATACGGGAACCTTAAAACACATGTTTTACTCAACATTTTATCGTAATCGCTATAGAACCATTAAAAACTTTATCAATCAACCAACATTTATTCATTTTTACAAATGCATTTCTCTTTAAACTACTATTTAGTTATTAATCTATATTTATTCCTTATAGGACACTGCGCCTAACCTCGGCATTTTATGCTCTTTTTTTTTATTCTTTAAACAACCAACCACTTCTTACAGATTTTTATTTTGTTATGTACTTTTATCTTTTGAAGGTTAAAGTTTAAGGCATTATTTTATGATTCTCATATAAACAAGGGTATTTTTCTATCCTTTTACGTTAAATGAATTTGAACCGCCTGAACGTTAGCTTCTAAGACATATTACATTTCAATATAGTTACTCTAAGTTACTTTTTGTATTCAAGCTATAAATATTTTACTCATTATCATATATTTCTTTATTTTCTTTTAAATCAGTCATCATCATTTTAGTATCTTATTTGTCATTTACAGTCTTCCAAATTAAATGGATTTTTTTCTTATAACACTTTTTATAAAGATATTTAGGCACTTAAATATAATAATTCATATTCCGTTTATCCCCATTTCGACATTTCTTTTCAAATTTAGCTTTATCAATGAGTCCATATTTGATTTAACTTAATTCTTATATACATTTTTTTTTACTTAAACCTACTTTCTATTTTATCTTCTTTTTTTACCTACTCGTTATTTAATCTATTTTAACTTTAACTTAAACTTATTTGCTATTTTATCTATTTTAACTTTTAATTAACTTAAAATTATTTGTAATTTAATCTATTTTTAATATTAACTTTAACTTACTTGCTATTTAAGAAACACATTTTTTTTTAACCATAGAACATATATACAATATATACACAAATTGTGAAACAATATAGTTAATTTCAAAGTCCACTGTTTAAAATAAAACTACGTCCAAAATTTAGATCCGTCATGGGCCACATTTCTCCGTTCTCCGTTTTGCGTATTCCTTTCTCCTTTCTCCTTTCTCCGTACTCCTTTCTCTGTTCTCCTTTCTCCATACTCCTTTCTTTATTCTTTTTTCTCCGTTCTCCAATCTCCTTTCTCCCTTTTGCGTTCTCCTTTCTCTGTACTCCTTTCTTTGCTCTTCTTTCTCCGTTCTCTGTTCTCCTATCTCCCGGCGTTTTCCTTTCTCCGTTCTCTTTTCTTTGTTCTTCTTTCTCCTTTAGAATATGTATCACGCAATTCTTTTTCTTTTCGAATTTTAAGAACACTAGTCTTCGGGAAACTACTCGCTTTACAGGTACCGTGGATCTTTCCACTTGCCTCCACCATTTCTATTATGCGGGAAAGAGGGGGCAGGGCAGACTAAGGCAGTTGCCTCCCCTGTCCCGCTGAAAGTTAATGTTGTCACTCTGCTGTTTACATATCTGTGTTCACTATTTTAACTACGACAATTTGGGGGACTGTCGTTCGCGTTCTTTCGAGGCCTCCTGGTGAATAAAACAAAGATGTCTATATATGTTTATTTCGAGTCCAACCATAAGAGTAATTTAGTCAAAATACATTAATGAAATAAAAGAGTTTGATTCTTAAAATGAACTTGAATTAACAATTATCAAAATACTTCATTAATTAATTAAAATAGTTTATCTTGATATTTATGGTAACTTTAATAGAGAAAGATTTCTGTCATAAAATTGTTACATTAAAACATTACTAAGGTTACGTTTAATTTTTCATTAAACAAAAATTATGAGTTTACGAACCTGGTGAATAAAACAAAGATGTCTATATATGTTTATTTCGAGTCCAACCATAAGAGTAATGTTTGATACCTAAGGGTTTCCTATTTTAAACCCTAAGAACATGTGCTGATTGGACTTGTTTTATTCACCAATCAAAATACTTTTTAGAAGAATTAATTTTATAAGAACAGTTTCTATTGGTTAAATCTCTTTTAGCAAATTCACATTTTTACATAATTTGGGGTTACTATTTTTAATTACTAAATACCTTGTTTTTACGACCATTAGGGAAATTCGATTATTTGGTTAGATAGAATTTTAGGTGAACAATAAAAAAGAATTATATATATTTGCTAAAGTAAATACTTCTAAGAGTTTAAGCTGTCAAACTTTATTTATATTCTAAGTGTCAAATAGGAAGAATTTCACATCTAATACATATATCAAAAGTTACATAACATTATAGACTTTCTTATTATATCTTTTTATACAAAAACCTTTATACAAGAATTAGTTATTTTCTACAATTCCATAGAAGATTCACTTAGTTTTATATGAAATATTAAAATTTATTTCTTTAAATATTTTACCTCAATTTACCACCATTATATATCCCTGTTGTTCGAAGAAATTGCTCCGCAATTTTACATTCGAATTTATTTCTTTTTAAACTTGTTTGAATTTTAAAAACGATTTTTTTAAAATATTTCCTCGACTGGATTTGACTATATGACTTAGTGGTTAATGATTCGTTGATATTGGATATATCGGTTAGACAAGTTGTTATGACCATGATGACTTATTGCGTTTTAGATCTCCTTATTCTGTTTTTTTTTTTTTATTAATAAAACAATTTTATCTTAAATATTTTTCATTTACCGATCACTTAATTTATTCTTTATGTAATGAGCGTTGGTGTTTTTTTTTTAACATAAATACTATCGTTTCTCTATTACTTATACTTTTGTGGTAGGCCTGCTTTTCTTGGTAGTCTGCTCGAACTCCAAACATATCCGAGTCATTTCCTCTCTCTGGAGTATGCTCATTTTCCTAGATATTTTGCTCCGACTCCAGAACTACCGCAAGTCATACCCTCATTTTCTATTATATTACTTTAGTCGGATTTGTTGTTTGTTTTACAATAGATAGTTTTCTAAAACATTTGATTACAGATAAGATTTTACATTATGGATAATGATTTGCTTATGCTAGAATGCATTATGTTTGCTATAATCAAGGTTTTACATGATGACTAGCTAGGTCAACATATTTAGCACTTAATTAATTAGGACGTCTACTATTAATTCTTATGATTAAACTAACATTAAATTCTTACATACGGGAACCTTAAAACACATGTTTTACTCAACATTTTATCGTAATCGCTATAGAACCATTAAAAACTTTATCAATCAACCAACATTTATTCATTTTTACACATGCATTTCTCTTTAAACTACTATTTAGTTATTAATCTATATTTATTCCTTATAGGACACTGCGCCTAACCTCGGCATTTTATGCTCTTTTTTTTTTATTCTTTAAACAACCAACCACTTCTTACAGATTTTTATTTTGTTATGTACTTTTATCTTTTGAAGGTTAAAGTTTAAGGCATTATTTTATGATTCTCATATAAACAAGGGTATTTTTCTATCCTTTTACGTTAAATGAATTTGAACCGCCTGAACGTTAGCTTCTAAGACATATTACATTTCAATATAGTTACTCTAAGTTACTTTTTGTATTCAAGCTATAAATATTTTACTCATTATCATATATTTCTTTATTTTCTTTTAAATCAGTCATCATCATTTTAGTATCTTATTTGTCATTTACAGTCTTCCAAATTAAATGGATTTTTTTCTTATAACACTTTTAATAAAGATATTGAGGCACTTAAATATAATAATTCATATTCCGTTTATCTCAATTTCGACATTTCTTTTCAAATTTAGCTTTATCAATGAGTCCATATTTGATTTAACTTAATTCTTATATACATTTTTTTTACTTAAACCTACTTTCTATTTTATCTTCTTTTTTTACCTACTCGTTATTTAATCTATTTTAACTTTAACTTTAACTTATTTGCTATTTTATCTATTTTAACTTTTAATTAACTTAAAATTATTTGTAATTTAATCTATTTTTAATATTAACTTTAACTTACTTGCTATTTAAGAAACACATTTTTTTTTAACCATAGAACATATATACAATATATACACAAATTGTGAAACAATATAGTTAATTTCAAAGTCCACGGTCAAAATAAAACTACGTCAAAAATTTAGTTCCGTCATGGGCCACATTTCTCCGTTCTCCGTTTTGCGTATTCCTTTCTCATTTCTCCTTTCTCCATTCTCCTTTCTCCGTACTCCTTTCTCTGTTCTCCTTTCTCCATACTCCTTTCTTTATTCTTTTTTCTCCGTTCTGCAATCTCCTTTCTCCCTTTTGCGTTCTCCTTTCTCTGTACTCCTTTCTTTGCTCTTTCTCCGTTCTCTGTTCTCCTATCTCCCGGCGTTTTCCTTTCTCCGTTCTCTTTTCTTTGTTCTTCTTTCTCCTTTAGAATATGTATCATGCAATTCTTTTTCTTTTCGAATTTTAAGAACACTAGTCTTCGGGAAACTACTCGCTTTACAGGTACCGTGGATCTTTCCACTTGCCTCCACCATTTCTATTATGCGGGAAAGAGGGGGCAGGGCAGACTAAGGCAGTTGCCTCCCCTCTCCCGCTGAAAGTTAATGTTGTCACTCTGCTGTTTACATATCTGTGTTCACTATTTTAACTACGACAATTAGGGGGACTGTCGTTCGCGTTCTTTCGAGGCCTTCTGGTGAATAAAACAAAGATGTCTATATATGTTTATTTCGAGTCCAACCATAAGAGTAATTTAGTCAAAATACATTAATGAAATAAAAGAGTTTGATTCTTAAAATGAACTTGAATTAACAATTATCAAAATACTTCATTAATTAATTAAAATAGTTTATCTTGATATTTATGGTAACTTTAATAGAGAAAGATTTCTGTCATAAAATTGTTACATTAAAACATTACTTAAGTTACGTTTAATTTTTCATTAAACAAAAATTATGAGTTTACGAACCTGGTGAATAAAACAAAGATGTCTATATATGTTTATTTCGAGTCCAACCATAAGAGTAATGTTTGGTACCTAAGGGTTTCCTATTTTAAACCCTAAGAACACGTGCTGATTGGACTTGTTTTATTCACCAATCAAAATACTTTTTAGAAGAATTAATTTTATAAGAACAGTTTCTATTGGTTAAATCTCTTTTAGCAAATTCACATTTTTACATAATTTGGGGTTACTATTTTTAATTACCAAATACCTTGTTTTTACGACCATTAGGGAAATTCGATTATTTGGTTAGATAGAATTTTAGGTGAACAATAGAAAAGAATTATATATATTTGCTAAAGGAAATACTTCTAAGAGTTTAAGCTGTCAAACCTTATTTATATTCTAAGTGTCAAATAGGAAGAATTTCACATCTAATACGTATATATCAAAAGTTACATAACATTATAGACTTTCTTATTATATCTTTTTATACAAAACCCTTTATACAAGAATTAGTTATTTTCTACAATTCCATAGAAGATTCACTTAGTTTTATATGAAATATTAAAATTTATTTCTTTAAATATTTTACCTCAATTTACCACCATTATACATACATGTTCTTGTTATCAATATTCCCCTTTGATAGACTAAAAAATAATTAAGAAAGTACGTTTGTACCTCCTTTAAATTTGTCATAGATGAATTTGGCTATTCTTTTTAGGTCCCTTTTGACCTTATATCTTCTAATGTTTTTAATACTTTTTACGTTTTTATACATTCCTGGCTTTCAAACGATTTCATTTGAGCGTTCCGGATGAAGGTAGATATAGACAAGTGCTTCGGACGATCGAAATTTGTAACGTGTTATCTTCATTTAATGTAAACATTGTGGGAAAATTCAAATGCTTTGCAAGTTTTACTTTGGAACAAAAATCGGCGAAACCGATGGGATATTGTATACATCAAACATAAAATTCAGTGCAAAGAACTAGTAAACATATTTGTTTAGGGGCCAGCTGAAGGACGCCTCCGGGTGCGGGAGTTTCTCGCTGCATTGACGACCCATTGGTGGCCTTCGGATGTTGTCTGCTCTATGGTCGGGTTGTTGTCTCTTTGACACATTCCCCATTTCCATTCTCAATTTTATGTACTATTTAATATCTGTTTTTTCTTATCTTGATGGAATTACTCATCATAGATCGAAAATGTCAGCTAATGTTCACTGAAAATACAATGTTGCATGATGTATAAATTCAATCAATTTGCCATGAGCCAAATCTTAAACACCTAAAGTGAGTTCGAAAACGATTGTTTCCTGAGGGAAAGAACAAACGATTAGTTGATAACATTGAAGGGATACCAAATACTTCATACCATAATTATGTTAGCATACTTTTCTTTCGGTTAGAAATTAAGTGTTAGTACGGATTTATTTAGGTTTTTTATGCAGGCCTATTTCATCTTTCAATATTATTTTATCAGAAATACTCAAGTTTTTCGACCGGAGGAATGGATAAAACTTCGCCGGATTTAACACACCTTTTCGGAATTTTCTGTTTTTATGCTCCCTAACGTCGTATTTGATATGGCATTCCAACTTTTTTAATGTGAGCGCCATTGACGAGTATGACGAAGACGAAACGCGCGAATGGATTTCAAAATTATAATACTTGTATCTTTGTTGAGTTTTAAAGAAATATCCATAACGTACACGCAGCAATCTGATATTCCCATAAAATTTTAGATACATTTCCATATTGAATTTTCACCTTTTTCATTTACCTAAATGACGTAGCGTAGAAGTTTTAACTATAGGTCATCCTTCGGCCTTCAACAATGGGCAAATACTATACCGTATAGTACGCTATAAGAGGCCCCGAAATGACAGATGTAAAACAATTCAAACGAGAAAAGCTAACGGCCTTATTGTACAAAACAATAAATAAAAAAACAAATATGATATACATCAACACACAACAACTACTGAATTACAGATTTCTGGCTTGGGGCAGCCATATACAGAATGTGGCGAAATTAAACATGGTAGCTGGCGCCAAACCCTCCTACTAACTTGGGACCCTGGTGTAAGAGTACAACATAAGAACACCATAAAAATCAGTTGAAAAGGGCTTAATTAATCAGATCGATACAAAGCACAAAAAAAAAAAATAACAAAATCACAAAAGACAGAAAGTACAGACTCGAAAGTACTCGCGCGATCGCAATTACTGAAAGCTAGTTCAAAGCCAATACCAACTAATAAAAAGAGCATGTATCTAATACTAAAATTTCAATCAGTAAGAACGCATCTAACATCAAATGAAGTTTATTGTTCGTTTATTTCCTTTCAGCCCAAAATTGACTTGGCGAGATGTTCAGCATTTAATAGTCCTAACAACAACTAAAAGTGGATTTTCAGACACTTATTCTAGTTGGCAAACAAATGGCGCTGGAAAAGAATGTATGTATATCATCCTTTTGTTTAAATTATTAAATACGATTTTATTTTACAGACATGCAAATAGTATCGTAAATATACGAACTCCAGATAAGGATGGTTTAGTTGAATATTATTCCAAAGAAAAAAATACACTTTTAAATTAGACAAAATCGGAAAGAATAACTTTTGTTTAGATTGAAAACCAACATACCATCATCATATCAGAATAGTATTCCCTCATATGCCTGAGTTATGACACTTCATTCGTATGCTGGTTATAACCCGAAAATGCATTTTCTTTCAATATCATATTAAATTTAGTAGGTTCACATGTAGATCTGCTAACTCTTCCGGAGCACCTGAGATCTTCTTAATCTTTTTAATGGGGTTCGTGTTGCTCAGTCTTTAGTTTTCTATGTTGTGTTTGGTAAACCGTTGTTTGTCTTTTAGTCGTTTTTCGATTATTTGCAAAGTTTTTATTACACATATTAAATTTTACTTGAAAATGGCCCGTGTATCTGAATGTTATGATGATCATACTTATATAACTTTATCAATGAATCTGCTAGCTTCAGTCATGTTTTTTCTCAATATAAATAACTACATCTCCCGAAAAGCTGAATGAAAAGTCGAGTAAATAAATGTCATCTGTTCAGTAAAGCCGTTACCGTTAGTAATAGAATGCATGTTTAGATTTCAAGTTTAGATCATTTTGTATTTCAAAATATCAATCCTTTTCATAAACTGCCTGTCCTTTCCATAAATAAGAAAAGTTATCGATCAAATAGAAAAAAAAACATGCACGTCTTCCATTTCTTTGATTTTAACAATCCAGAAACTGAGAACAAAAGAACTATAATTAATTTTTTTTGTGGATCTGGAAAATATGAAAAATTATCAAACAGAGATCACGGTAAAATATCAATTTGAGATAAATGCCAGTATACATAATTTAATTCGAACTATGTTAGGTCTAACAATAAAGTTTTAACGATTACTATAAACTCATCATAGATACCAGGATTATATTTTATATTGACTATACGCATTTTAAATTGTCTGCTAAATAGAGTTCAGAGAAATTGCCATAACAATAAAATTTGATATACACAAGTTTAACTATTGCAGTTGAAGAATATAAATATACATGTTTACGTTTTTTGTTTTCACAATAGTTAGTCAAGTTCTTGGCTTCGGTTTTATGGACGCACAATCTATGGTAACTCGAGCTATTAGCTGGACCACCGTTCCGGTACAACGAACTTGCAACACGACAACGTTCACTGTATCTGGGTAAGATAAAACCTGTTCTCTGTTTAAATCAGAATGTGAATTTTCAACAATCAATTAGTTCTTACAAAAGACTAAGGTTAAATTGTCACTACGTTTTTTTTCTCACAAATATTATCTTTCAATGGGAAAAGATAACCAATCTGTCAAAATCTGATGAAATAGACACAAAGTACTTTAAAATCGCTGCCAGGAACTGGAAATAACTTTTTAACTCGATATTTATTGTATTGATTTATGTTGATGTAAACATTCGGAATTGTAGAGGTCTTTAGTGGTTTTTTTTTCATTATTGAAGACTACATTCCTGTTAGACATATATTTATCCATAATGAACCTATCGGTCAACCCACTTCTGCAATTTATAGCTTGGCATAGTGTGTAGACACCTTTAATTGTTCAAGAACGCATGTTGACCTGTATTTTTCCTTTGGGTCATTATGTTGTTGATTTACTGATTTGTTCACATATATAAAAAAAAAAATCCCATAGTAATGTTACATGGGTGGATCATTGACATTCACCTCACTATTACAGTCGCATTCTTAACCGACTCTTATAACAATAGACGTCATAATTATTACTGCAATGGCTTACATTTCTAAGTCTTCACAAGGAAGCTTGCTCGCCTTTATTACCGTGGATACGACCTTAGTGGGGTAAAAATTAGTATTTGTTGATGATCTACTAAGCGCGAGGCATTTTAGAATGAGAAAAGCACTTTAAAAATCCAGCTCAGCGTGTAAGTCTAGGATAAACCAGGATGTATGTCATATAATTTGTTTTTGTTCTGATTCGCATGCAATATATGGCACAAAGCGTTATATCACATCATTATCACCAATAATTTCATAGCTCATAAAAAAATTATACAAAATAATTGAGATCGAACGAGGATTTGGGAATGTATGCATGAATGAGTTTTGATGTTAGATATTTAAGCTTCATTTTCTCCTTCTTTTAGAACAACGTCTGGTTCTTCACATTCATCAGACAGTAGAGCTATTCAGAATTCTGATTGTTCCACTATTTCTTATCTAGAACACGTGACAGTTGATATAAACTTTTCATACAATCGAAGAAGAGGTGTGACTGAATTTTATCTGGTATCACCAGACGGAACAGAGAGTCATTTATTACATTACAGATATGCAGACGCTATATATTATTCGTCCGCGGGATCATTCAGTTGGACGTTTATGTCAGTTCATTTTTGGGGAGAAAACCCAATCGGTACATGGACATTAAAATTCAAATCATATCAAGGTTTATCTGCAGGTAAGATCACTTAATATCTTGAAAACAATTTGCATTGAATTTGCATCATATTTCAACGTTTTCGAATTTTTTGACGTGAAAAAAAACACACTATGGTATTGTAAATATTGCAGGCGTTCTAACTTTAAAAAAACTGCACTAGACATACTTTAGGTATGTTATCCCTATGTGTTTAAAAGAATACATGATGACTGTTCAACATTTTTTAATTGAAAACTGGATGTTCTTAAAAGCTTAACCTATCTTGTTATTGGTCTGTTTAAAGAAAATGAAGTGGGAAGGAAATGTAGATTGGACATGCAATAAGTCAGTAGTACCCTATTGAAATAGGTCTTTCTGTCAGCCCGCCCGCTAGCACTTTATATGATTAATCGTGATGTCCTTAACGGATTCCAGTAACTGCATGTATGTGTTTATAGTAAAAAAAGTTCCCTTTCAATTTTGATGGTATTTTTCTTGGTGTATGGGACTGTTTATTCAAAAACTGTTAAATTGGCATATTCTTGGTAACACAAAAAAAATCTAAATCGGTTGGACTAATAATAAGAATTCTTCCAAATAAGATGGGTCAAAGACAAGATTTTGGATTGATGATTTTCATTTTTTTGCAAAAAGCGGGGGAGGGTATCATCAACATGTTCATTTTTTTTGTTTTTGTTTTTTGTATCTCTTCTCTCATGTAATAACTAAGGAACGTTAATTTAGCACACCAGACGTACATTACATTTACACGGAACTCATCAGTGACCGTCGAATTAAATACAGTTAGATAACTAAATCAATAATGAAAATAAAAAGCACTTAACCATCAATTCGAAAACATAGATTAAGGAAAAGCAATCCTGTGTTGGAGTAGAAAATTCTTATTGTTTTCAAACTGATTTTACCGTGTTATGGACAGTAAATTTGCAGAACATATCACAATATATCTATTTTCAGTCACTGTTACTTCTTGGTCTCTTACATTTTATGGAACGACAGAAGATCCAGTGCCAGGTAATTATCATTATGTATTGTATACAATTATCCCAATGCTGCTAGACCTTTACACTCTAATAACTCTAGGTGATATCATTTCTTGCCCTTGACCTTTACACTCTAATAACTCTAGGTGATATCATTTCTTGCCCCAGATTTTTTCACTGTAATAACTCTATGTGATATAATTTCTTGCCCTAGACCTTAACACTCTTATAACTCTTGGTGATATCATTTCTTGCCCTAGACCTTTACACTCTAATAACTCTAGGTGATATCATTTCTTGCCCTACCCTGAACACTCTAATAACTCTAGGTGAAATCATTTCTTGAACTATACCTTTACACTCTAATAACCCTAGGTGATATCATTTCTTGCCCTAGACCTTTACACTCTAATAACTCTAGGTGATATCATGTCTTGCCCTTGACCTTAACACTGTAATAACTCTAGGTGATATCATTTCTTGCCCTAGACCTTTACACTCTAATAACTCTAGGTGATATAATTTCTTGCCCTAGACCTTTACACTCTAATAACTCTAGGTGATATCATTTCTTGCCCTACCCTTTACACTCTAATAACTCTAGGTGATATCATTTCTTGCCCTACCCTTTACACTCTAATACCTTTAGGTGATATCATTTCTTGGCCTATACCTTTACACTTTAATAACTCTAGGTGATATCATTTCTTGCCCTAGACCTTTACACTCTAATAACTCTAGGTGATATCATTTCTTGCCCTAGACCTTAACACTCTAATAACTCTAGTTGATATCATTTCTTGCCCTACCCTCATCACTCTAATAACTCTAGGTGATATCATTTCTTGCCCTATACCTTTATTCTCTAATAACTCTAGGTGATATCATTTCTTGCCCTAGACCTTTACACTGTAATAACTCTAGGTGATATCATTTCTTGCCCTAGACCTTCACACTCTTATAACTCCAGGTGATATCATTTCTTGTCGTAAAAGTGTAATTTATCAGAGCAATAAACGAGTTTGTGTCATTTTTACGGGTATTTTCGCTTTTATTTCGGTTGAGGAATATATACGACTTAGTAAATAATACACCCTTTCAATATGAAAATATTTTAAGAACTATTGGTTTATTCAGCTAACTGTTTTTTTCTGGTCCTTTACTATTACTAACTTAATCGAAGTAGGATAATATTAAAATTAAAACTGGATTCTTTGGTTTTCAATTTGAGAGCTGTAGATCAAACCATTATGATGGCAATTACTATTATCATTATTACAATATGACTTTACTGTACAAAAAAGTAAATATATATTAATTTACACTTAAATTTCAATTTCGTATAACGATGAATTTAAGTCAACTACGATCCAGGAATGGACTAAATAATTGACACATTTTGAATGAATTTTCGCGTTCCGAAATGATTGCTCTTTTGATAGCTAAATGTGTTTCCGTAATGTGAACAGTCCCGCCTAATCTCCCTACCCCGAATCGTTGACTAATTCATTTTCTGTCATTACATTTTCGTATCATTAAGCATTTTCAGTCATTGCAGGGTTGCAATGTGTAAAGTTACAATAATACCTTTTCTTGATCAAAATAGAAAACTATTATTTAAACATATAAACATATAAACACTGAATCTAATTGACACATCAAAATGGGGATACTAGAAAACTATTATGCAAATCTAGAACTCGTCATCATCCCTGGCTGTTGAAAATGGATGGTATCAAATATTTCATTCAAACAAAAACTATATAAAATCGACAAATGCAAAGTTCTGGATGATGAATCTCACTTATTTTTATTTATTGAAATAAATAATGAATTAAGGATGTTCGCTACTCTGTTTCAAAATAACAAGATTTTTAAAAGACTGTTATAAATTAATAGTATATAAATAAAGAAACTAAAAAAGCAGAAAAAAATGAAGGGTCCGTGTGCTTGTTTTCGAGATATAAGTTATTGAAAATCTGGCGGGAAGTAATTCTCTCTAGATTTTTCATAGATTTAACATTGACACCTTTTTTCTTTCAAAAACGATAAAAAAATAACAAGGATTTTATAAGATTTTCAAAGATGACATTTTAAACTATATGTAATCAAATTATGGAAAGAAAAGTAGGGGTTAGTGGGCAAAATTTTTAATGGCATTACATGGATAAAACCAGAGGATTCCGAATATCTGGCAAAAATTCCAAAACAAGAGGAGCGAACATCCTTAAGCCAAGTCTTTCTTTATGAATCAGATACCTAACATAGAGATTTCCCTGGATATATATATTTGAATAGAAAACTATCTTGCAAGTAGAATGATAAGGCTCCTTTACTAAACAGTATATTGGTCTGAGGATAGGAGACACTTGGGGTCATTATGTTTTGGGTTTAATATTTGATTTTATTTGATTTTGATGGCATGATGATTTCGTTCTTTTTATTTTTGTATATTGTCATGTATTATGCCATTTGACTTTCTTATAGGTGTATTTAAAGCTGAATAAAGTATTGATTCTAAACGTATAGATACATATACATAATTTCTCTCATTGTCAAATAATAAAAAAAAAATTTTGTGTTTCAGTGAAATAAATAAGGATGTATACTTTAAAGTTATATTTTTTAAACACACATTGGATTAAAAGTATACCTTGCCACTTTTACATGTATATTAATTTGAAATTATCCGTTGAAATTTTCTAGTTCCTTCAAATATGTGTAGTTATTGTAGTTTTAATCACACTGTTAGCAAAATGCATCGATTGGTGTTGAATTGTTGGGAATCTTGGCATAAATTCAGCACAATGCATAATATCAACCATGTTCGGAATGATGAAACGAAATTTCCCATTTACAATTGATTCAATAGATATCTTTGTCACGGAAGTCATGATGGAAAAGGCACGCTTGTAAACTCAGAAAACGAACTGTGTTTTAATCTACTTTGTCCATGTTGTTGTGCATTTCCGTTGCAAACGTACTTTTACTGTCAATTTCTAGCTGTAAGTGATTATACGAAACGGACCTACGATCGAAATAGTCAGAAGATTTTAAATTATTCAATGCGAAGAAATGTATGTGTAAGCCATACATATAGTATGCCTTCTACCAACAAAGAAACAAGTCAGCGAAGAAAAATATATTCATTTAGTTCCATTTGAGAAGTCACTAAATAAATGTACAGTGGTGAGCTAAAGGTATTTCCCTGAACTTGTCAAAAAGTAATTTAACATATAGAAAATATTTGCATTTATAATCGAGTGTTGATTGTTGATAAGTTGTTGTGCCGTTATTAACTGGAAAAAAACCAATTACTAAGTACTACCCAAATTATGTGCCTTTCATGCAAACAACTCTTTAAATGCGTTCTTGGCTTTACAGATACAGACTTTTGTGTATTGTCACCATGTCAGAATAACGGTACATGTAGTAACAATCAGTACTCCTACAGCTGTCAATGTGCTGATGAATATTCAGGCACAGACTGTGAATCAACAGTGACTTCTACAAGTGGTAAAGTATACCCTTAACTGGAAGTTAACAGTTTATTCCTTTTGTTTAACGTTTTTACGTAGTCTAGTTTCTAATTGCAAGTGATGCATACATATAAATACTCACTACATATACCACGGGAGAGTCATCCGTTCTGTCTCCGTATTACTAATGAGATTATTCTTTGGTATGTACATGTATATTTCAAATGGGTTTACGGTTTTTAAAGATTGGTAAGTTACTGTTGCTGCTTATTTATCAGAAACAAGATAAAATATATATGACGTATAATTTAAAAGAAATAATGAAAAACTTCTTCACATAACGAAATCTTGATCTAAAATACATATGATCACAATATCGTCGCGAAGTAGCGACGTCGAGTATACAGTAACGTAATTACCACACTAAACGACGTTAAAACGTTAACCATTTATTAGGAAATGTTTATAATAAAAGAAAGTAATTTACAACAGATATGTTTACATTTCACGGCTTCAAAACATATTAACTGCGTTAAGTTGTAATTAAACATTGCCTTGCAGTTAATTTTACATCTCTGCCATCACTCTCACGATGTAATTTTTCGAGGTTTAATGACATAAGACTCAAATAGAACTCAACTATTTTAACTATTATTTGATTTGTATATTTTGAAGTAAAACATCAACATGTGTCGAGTTGAAAGTTACGGTAATAAAAGTTCTAAGAATCAAGTTTAAAGCTAATGCACCTAACTAAAGCATTTTTCTTGTAAATGCGCAATTGAGGTTTTCTTCATTTAAACGATGATAAATACGAAATCTAAGAATTTTGACAAATTAAAAAAAGTGATATTCTATATTAACATATCCAAAACAACAATGAATGCGCATATCAATTTTCTTTTTAAGTTAACACACAACCTATTGTTTATTATTAACTAATGAAAATCATATTTTATCACCTAAATATATTTCTTTTTGAAAATGTATTGGATTAAATACATTTTCTCTTACTATCTTTCGAAATGTTTAAGAAATCACCACGATATGTTGAATAAGGTCATGAAACAAGATCTGTTCACGCACAAAGCACATGTACCGCGCTGTTATGACTGTTTATAGTCATGGTCTGTTCCTTTTAATTTTTAATTTAGATCAGCTGTAAAACGAATGATTTATTTTTCATACTTTTCAGATGATACTACAGCATGTAAAACATGCACAGAAGAAAGCAGTGTTGGACCGATTATCGCCGCAGTTTTAGGTGCTTTGGTTATTTGTTCAGTTGTTGTCATTGCAGGAGTACTATACAGTAAATCTTTTTCCAAGGTTTCTCCAACTGCTGCAAAAAACACAGCACAGCGTAAAATTTGCTTCCATATATGTCATTGATATACCACGATCCAAACCGAAACTCTATATTTTCAACGTGAAAACTTGGAGCAATTATTAATTTATTTCTATTAGTTTCAAGGTTTTTTTTTCAATCAATGGATGATGATATCATACATGAAAAATAGAGACTTTGTAAAATTTATCATATGTGTTTAATGATTGTTTTCTTTGCAATTTTTAACGACGAAAAAATGTGAAGTTGTAATGTCAAACCATAATAATTATAATATACATATGGTTTGTACATTTTAAATGCGTTTTATGAAGTTATGAGTTTTTGATTTCTTTCTTTTCTTTTTTATATTATTTACACAAATTATATTTTTGACATAAGTGATAGGTTTGAAAATCAACCATCTGCTATTTTGACAACAAATGTTTACTTTTTTTACCATACATTTTATTGCTGAGTTATTCGACTAAAGACTTTAAACATGTTGAATCAAGTGTTTATTTTTAATGTAATCTTTTGTAGCCGTTGACTTTTGACTGAAATTACGGGACTGATATGTGTGACATGTCTGTTAAGTGACGCAGATTTATTTAATTCTGTATCATAAACGTGCTTCGTTGATAACATTGTTGTGACTTTAGGAAACGAATTGCTGATTTCAGAAGTAATCTTCCTAAACCTTGAACTACAATCATTATATATTTTATTTGAATAGAGTTGACTTTTGAACCAACGTTTGAAAATGAATAATATGAAAAGGTATGATGTGTATTTGATAATGAGTACTGTAAGTCATTTTCATTTCACAATTTCAACTGTTAAAATACATAAACAATGTTTGGCCTGGAATATTTTTATAGTGAGAGTATTGTATTAGTTCTGTTGATCCTTTCCAAAAGATGATGCAAAACAATAAAGCGAATTGACAAAAAAAATATGTATTCATAAATTAAATTAACACTGGTCGTAACATATGAACAACTCCGTCCATACATTTATACTTGTGTTTTCTTGTTATGTTTTTATATGATTTTTTTTTTATTAAATTGTTAAAACTATATGTGTTATTTAGAATTAATTTGCATGGCTGGAGTCCACAATTTAACTTGAAAGAGAGAAATGAAAAATAAATTAAAGAGAGAATGTCAAAAGCATTGTGCCTTTCTTTTGTCACGTGCGTAAATAAGTACACCATATTCAGTCTTTTCCTTTACTCTTTTAGTTTATCTAATACGATATTTAATTTATAACGTGTTGTTTTCATTTTTTTACAGCACTGGGTCGATACCTCTGCTGATGAAGGTATCAATAGCTCAGTAGTCAGTACTTCGTTACTGATTTGATTTATAACAAACCTTTCTAAAATTGTCCGTTAATAAATTTTGAAATTATTCGAAACTAAGGTTTCAACTCCCTCGGGCAAAGTTGACCTGGATTTGGATATATTGTTTTATGTCCTTTTTGGTAATGAATACAGCTCTTTGACTGTTTAGGTTCTTACACATCCTAGACTTTTAAATATTCGGCTTTGAGTGTTCCTGATGAAGGTCAATCAAGAAAAGCGCTTCGGATGCATGCAATTTATAATGTGTTGTTTTCATTTTTTACTTTCATATCTGACGTCATATAATGACAATATTTCCATTAAAGTCATTTTCTGCAACAACATGCAGCGATATACCTTTTTCTCATTTCTTATTAATTAAAGTCAGTAGGAAATAAGAAAAGAGTATCAGTTTGGAAATCACGTCTGTCAATCCTGCAGCGTCCATCGATTTATAGTTAACAAAATAAAGGCAACAGTAGTATACGGCTGTTCAATAGTCATAATTCGATTCAGCAAAAACAAATCTGGGTAACAACCTAACACCGAGGGAAACACATCAACTATAAGAGGAAAACAACGGAACAACAGAAACACTGAACTACAACAAAAGCAAACGCCAACATACATGTACATAGAAACGGATTGTCTGATAACAACTGCCATATTTCTGACTTGGTACAGGACATTTTAAAAAAAATGGTGGGTTGAACCTGGTTTTATGGCTAGCCAAACCTGCCGCTTATATGGCAATGTTAAAAATACCGCTAAAATGACAACACTACGTGACAGGAATACAGTACAAACGAACACAAGAACACTCAGCACAGAGAAATACATAAATAAATAATACATAGATATATCTGTTTTACATTTATCTGTAAAAAATAAAATAATAATAACAGTCATTATATATTATATTTTCTAACGTTCTTATATTCTTGTGACTATTTTGTCCCACCATTGCAGTACCATTGCACATAAACTGTATCTCACACCTGGAATGAGTTTCCATAGCTGGTATTTCAATCGGGATCTCCTTGATTAGTATTTACAGGAATTTGTGATTTTTGTATAATAATCCAAGGATTCTCGATATGGTGAATAAGAAAGTTTTATGAACACTATTTTCTGAGTTCAAACTGGTGTTTGCCTTTTCAATTTTTTTCTACCGTGGTGTTGTTTTTCTATTGAAATATCCTTTTATTTTGCTCTCGTAGTATCATTTTCCTTTATAATTGTACTTACACTACAAACCAGTAAAAGTCTGAAATGGCCTATATCTGTACTCGACTGTACTGATTTTTACTCGACCAGTCTGAATTGGTCTGAATTTTACTCGACATTACTCGACCCTAGTCTTAACCATACTCGACCGTACTGATTTGTACTTGACCCTTATTTTTGCCATTTAAAATAGTCTGAACTATTACTCGACCAGTCTGAAACAGTCTTAACCCATTCTCGACCTGTAGTCGACCAATTTTTTCAGTCTAAACCATACTCGACCAAAGGTCTGAACAATACTCGACCAGTCTGAACCATACTTGACCAAAAAACCTATACTTTTTTTAATTTTAGCTTTTAAAATGAATTTCTTTTTTTCTGACATGACAACAGCCACAATAAAATAAAGATAATATATAAAAACATATTTTTACATCCTTACATGATTCTCAGATTTATCAAATAGAGATAGTTAAATTAAATTATCTTATACAATAATTTAATTATATTAATTAATTTTAAAGTTTTATAGTTTTGTTAAAAAAAAAGATTTTCTTTTAACTAAAAACCACACCTTTACTGAGGGTAATAAAACCTTATTAACATGATTAAGGTGCTTCTTGTTTGGCTTTTTTTTTTTTTTTTTTCTAAACTTAATTTTCCTAAATTCCTAAAGAAAAACTATATAGGTTTCATGGTTACATACAATAGTTATATAATTATCTTTTTAATGAGGTAACAACAGCCAAAAAATCACTGAAATTGTTTAACCTTATATTAGAAATATACCTATTCTTAATATAATTTGGGATATATTATATATAATATATATCAAAAAGGGATAAAAGATTAAAGAAATAGATAAAAAAAATTCTTCTGATTAGTGGTAAAGTATAACGTAATACCTCCTGCTTGGGGCAAACTCATAAAAAAGATCACACCTGGTCAGAGAGTATTAATTTCTAATTAACATTCATTAAAAATTGCAACATCCTGTAAAACTTAAATCGCAAGGCCTTTTGAATTCACTAGACAAGTAATACACGAGTTTAAGAATAAAAGGGCTTTCTTTTTACCTGTAAAACACACATGTACTGAGGTAATTAAACCTTATTAAAGTGCTTCTTGTATGCCATGTCTTTAATTTTGACAAAAGTTATTTAAATTTAATTGAAATAAATTTTTTCTGCAACTTTGGAACACATTTCCTTTTTTAAATGGTTATCAAGGATTGCTATGGAAGTTCTATTATCATGATTATATTAAATTCTTGGTTTTGCAAAACAAAGGTGTAATTTTAAAAATTTATTAAGTTGCTTTATATACTATTTAAAATATATTTTAATAAAAAAAAATGTTCACTGCATTATTAACTAAACTCAACTGACACCATAAATCTATACAAGGCTTAAGTAAATGGAGAAAATTGTCCAGTAACCATAAAATATATCTGAAACATTCAAAAAAATTTGAATAACATTGAAAATATTAGTCACAATTCAGTTTTGAGATTATTTGATTAGCTTGTTTTATTTTTATTTTAAAGGTGATATATATATATGTAAGTGTTGATGAATATGGGGTTGAATTTATATTATGTTTATTGTGAAATTTTGGTTTCAATGCCATATTGAATACATTTTAAATTTCATTAATTTTTGTTCAAATTTCTAGCCAGGGGAAATAGCTGTTAAAAACAGTTCCTAAATTGATGAAATACAATAGATAGATACAAAACTTAGGTCTAGGTTGGTTAAGACTTAGTCGAGTATGGTTCAGACTAGGTCGAGTATGGTTCAGACTAGGTCGAGCATGGTTCAGATGAAAAGTACTGGTCGAGTAAAGGTCGAGTACAAGTTCAGACTGTTAAGTATGGTTCAGACTACAGTCGAGTATTATCAAGTAAATTTCAGACCAATTCAGACTGGTCGAGTAAAAATCAGTACAGTCGAGTACAAATATAGGCCATTTCAGACTTTTACTGGTTTGTAGTGTTATGAATACCATGGCAAACTATAAAATACGAAAAAACATAAAGATAAATTTGGAATTCCATATGATTGTCATACAAGTGAGAGGTTTAGCTAGCTATAAAACCAGGTTTTATCCACCATTTTTCTACATAAGGAAATGCCAGTACCAAGTCTGGAATATGACAGTTGTTTTCCATTCGTTTGATGTATTTGAGCTTTTGATTTTGGCATTTGATCAGGGACTTTCCGTTTTGACTTTTCCTCGGAGTTCGGTATTTTTGTTATTTTACTTTTTATCAAGCCTTATGTCCATAGTTAAATGAAGCATACTAGTATTTAGTTATGATGACGACCTAAACTTTTGATAAAAACCATTAGTTGATGATTTATGAATTAGTTGATATAAAGTACATGTATTCAGTATATAACAATGATTTGGCTTGCTTGGAAGAGAACCGTAACGGTTGTAGTTTCCATGTTTATCTTAAAAATAAGAAATCACAGTAGATGGACGAAAATGAGATAAAAATGTTATTAGTTACATAGTGTGGTAGTGACCAAATACGATGATATATTGGGTCATTTAATTTCATATGGGGTGAGAGCGAAGTTCGAGCCCCATATGGAATTTATTGACCCCATATATATCGTATTAGGTCACTAGCACACTGTGTAATATTTTTATCTTACCGACTATCTTAAATATGTGGCATTTAGACTAGTGGCCTATTAAAGTGGAGCCTGTTGTTCAGTGGTTATCGTCTGTTGGTGTGGCGATAAGTGTTTCTCGTTTCTCGTTTTTTGTATAGATTGGACCGTTGGTTTTCCTCTTTGGATTGTTTTGCACTGGTCGTTTTGGGGCCATTTGTAGCTTGCCGTTCGGTGTGAGCCAAGGCTCCGTTTTGAAGGACGTACTTTGACCTATAATTGTTTACTTTTTATACATTGTGACTTGGATGGAGAGTTGTCTCATTGGCACTCATACCACATCTTCCTATTAATAAGTCTTTAAAAAAATAAACCTACTTCAATTGATCTATACAAAAACAAATGCCAACAATAACAACTTGTTAGCTTTTAATGTGTTTTCTGCATTTATTTCAATCGTTCATCATCAATTTCATTGTTTATTGAAAAGTTTCAGAATTTTTCCTCAACGACTTGTTGTTTTTATAAAGGGACGTACCACCACTACTAAGCGTATATTAGAATAAGCCCCGCCTACTAACCCCATATGGGGTAGCTTTTAACCAATGATGTTCCTAGAAATGTATAGGAGGTAAGATAATATTCAACATTCTGTTGTTAAAATGGTCCATGTTTTATCTCAATAAAATAACTACATCTTAAACTGTTTATTGGAACTGTTGAACAGATTACATATTTTATGCTTTAAAAAGTGTTTTAGGAAGGATATAATAGTAGTAGCTTTCTCCAGAAAAGTCCTGTATTTCGATTTTTAAAGGTTCCAACATCATGCAAATATGTTAACCATTGGAACAATTTATTTGTGTTTTTTAGTTCCTTTAAAATT